TCTTTCCTCAACATCTTGAAGATGAGTTCACATATGATTGTGGACTGTGCTATGAAGCGACTGATATAGTTGAGACGTCCTAGGAAGCTCATCATGTCCTTTTTGCTCCTAGGTGGCGGTAACTCCTGAATAGCCTTGACTTTAGACGGATCCAGCTCGATCCCTCGACATCTGACAATGAATCCCAATAACTTTCCTGTAGGAACCCCAAATGCACACTTTGCAGGGTTCAGTTTTAAGTTGTACCTCCTTAACATGTCAAAAAACTTTCTCAAGTCCGCTATGTGTTATGCGGCCCTCTTGGATTTGATAATGATGTCGTTAACATACACCATTGTTTCCTTGTGTATCATATCATGAAAGATGGTTGTTATGGCTCCCATGTAGGTAGCCCCAGCATTTTTTAGACCAAATGGCATCATTTTGTAACAGTATACCCCCCAAGGTGTGATAAAAGTTATTCTCCACGTCTTCTTCATCCAGCCAGATCAGGTGATAACCCGCGAAGCAATTTACCAAGAATTGGAGTTCATGCTTGGCACAATTGTCGATCAGAATGTGTATGTTCGGTAGTGGAAAGTCGTCATTGGGACTTGCTCTGTTTAAATCTTGATAGTCAACACATACTCTGACTTTCCCATCTTTCTTCGGGACTGGCACAATGTTGGCTAACCAAGTTAGGTACTCCACAACCCTGAGAACTTTGGCTTTGATCTGCTTAGTAACTTCCTCCTTGATTTTCAAGCTCATATCTGGTTTGAACTTTCTGAGTTTCTGCTTCACTGGCGGACACATGGGATTAGTAGGCAACTTGTGAGCCACTATGGACGTGCTTAGACCGGTCATGTCATCATATGTCCATGCGAAAATGTCCTCATACTCTTTTAAGAAGCGGATGTACTCTTTCTTCTCTGTTGGTGATAAGTGAATATTGATGCAAGTCTCCTTGACGGTCTCGGTGTTCCCCAAATATACTGCTTCGATTTCGTCCAGGTTGGACTTAGGTTTATTCTCAAAGTTTTCAACCTCCATGACAACTTCCTCGGGTATCTCGTCTTCTTCATCCGAATCACTATCCTCATATTACATTGCCTCATTACATGTCACAATCACTGATTCATTAGGAAAGGTAATAATAACACTGTAGAAAGGAAAAGTATAGAAAATGATAATGAATAATAAAGAGCAATGCATTTAATTAAAACTGAAAAATATTTGAACAAGTACGGCTCGATGAATCGAGCATTTATTTTGAAATAAATAAGTCTTTAAAACAAAGTTACTGAAAATATTAAATGCCTAGAATGGCTATAGAAACAAAATCTACCAAGCTACCTAGGGACTCGGCGGGCCCGGGATGGTATGGCGGTCCAGTTCTTGAGAATAGCTCCCTTCTCCACAGTCTGAATAGTGAGGTCTTCTTCCTCCTCCTCCTCAATTATTGCACTACAGTCCATGTCTTCATCCTCTAAGAACAGATTGTTTAGCCCAGCTAATGCCTCCTCTTCTGCAGTTCCCCATATTGTATCAGCTTGGTAAAAAACTTGATCTAGACGTGGCACTGGTTGCTCGAGAGGGTAATACGGTCCGCGCCATGGAGGCGACCAATCATTATACTCTTGCCATGTATACTGATATCCGAGCGCAAAGGTAGTACCATGACCTTTCAACCGTATCGGTTTAGTGATACCCTGGAGATTCTTCCCAAGCCCTTTGCCGAGTTCATATCCATACCATTCCAGTATGCTTACTATTTTGCTACTCCACCATTTGTCCTTATCAATGGCATTGACTCGTTCAATGTGATGATAGGTTTCCCCTCCTAGACTTCTTCTGTTTCTGATAACTGGAATGGTTTGGCTAGGGTAAATGGGGTTACTTCCATCTCCGTGAATGATCACTTCCTGACGATTCCATTCAAATTTCACGGTTTGATGTAGTGTGGATGTCACGGACCCAGTGGCATGGATCCACGATCGTCCCAACAGAAGATTGTATGAGGCCGGTATGTCGAGCACCTGAAACTCGACGTCGAACCAAGTTGGCCACATTTGTAAGCAAAGGTTAATTTCCCCAATCGTGGCCCATTTAGATCTATCGAAAGCTTTCACGTTCATGCTTTTGGCTCGTATTTCATGAAAACCTTTGTCCAACCTTTTCAGAGTATCCAACGAACAAATATTGAGGCTCGAACCTCCATCAATCAAGACCCTGGTGATGAATTTGTCTTCAAATTGCACCGTGATATGCAATGCTCAGTTATGATTCAACCCTTCATGTGGCAGCTCATCCTCATGGAAGATTATTTTATGGCTTTCTAGCACATGTCCTCCCATGTTGGCCATCTTCCTGCCGGTGATATTGTTGGGTACATAAGCTTCACTCAACACCTTCATTAAAGCGTTCTTGTGCGCCTCTGAATTTTACAACAGTGACAGGATGGATATCTGAGCTGGGGTTTTGTTCAAATGGTCAATGACAGAATACTCCCTTGCTTTTACTATCCTCCAAAGGTCATCTGGCCCTGTTTCAATGACAGGCTGTTTGGTAGTGGCTTCCTTACTTGGTCCTCCCAAGAGTTTAGGTGTATAGACCATTCCGGTCCTACTTATTCCTTGTGCAGCATCAGATTCCTCTACCTTCGTATTCCCTTTTCACCGAGCTTCGGCAACATAATCCCAAGGTATTTCTTTTGAATTGAAAGGAGGTGTGGTCGATACTGTCAGTGTGAAAGGTGTGAACACTTCTACTTCAAACGGAGTAGGGGTGGGCACGGGTGGAGCCACCTCTACCTCAAATGGAACTGGTGCAGCTACCTCAACCTCAATTGGTGACTAAGTCTGTACTACAATAGGAGTAAGTGTGACCGAGGATTTAAAGTCATCGCCCCTCCCGAATAAGCCAATCGACCCCCCAGGGTCCCACTCTTCGTTCGTCTCTATCACATGTACCCCACCACTTCTAGGATTAGGGAGAGGGTTGTTACGAACATTGGGTGCGGCTTCCTTCGCCTGTATGACCTTGTTATTAATCACCGTCTAGATTTTATCTTTCAATGTTCGGCACTCGTCAGTGGTGTGCCCCTTCATACCGGAATGGTACGCACAAGTTTTGTTTGGATTGACCCATTAGGATGGATTTTCTAGTGCTACAACGGGAACATGAGTGACGTAACTTGCGACTTTCAACTTCTCATATAGTTGGTCGATGGGTTTAGCATTAACGGTGTATTATCTAGGTGGCTTGCGGTCAAAATTGGGTCTTAGTCTTGGATAATATTGGCGAGTCGGAGGTGACTAGAAATGTGATGGTTGGGAGTTATAGGTATGATAGACAATGGCTGGTTGGGAATTTTTGGGTGATGATGGTTGATATGTAGGTGGTGGTGCTTGGTATGTGGGTGGAGGTGTTTGATATGTGGGTGGAGGTTTTTGATAGGTGAGTGGAGATTTTGGGCCTTGAGCCACCATCACTACCCAATGTCCTTCTTCTTTGAGATGCCACATGATTGTAATGCCTTATTTGTGGCCTATAAATCCTCTAAATTTGTTACCATCCTGCTTTTGATGCCTTCTTCGATTCTTCCCCCAAGTTTGATGATATCAGAGAATTTGTGGAAATCAATAACCATCCATCTTTCATAATACTGCGGATCATATGCTCTGACGAAGAACTTGTTCATCTGTTCCTCGTCCAAAAATGGCCTGACTTTGGCTACCTCTGACCTCCAACGAGTAGCGTACTTGTGGAAAGTTTTGGTGGGATTCTTCTTAAGGTTCTGAATATAGAAAATATCTGGTGCATTTTCTGTGTTGAACCTGAACCAGTCCATAAAATCAGACGTCATACTCACTGTGTACGGCAAATCCGGGGGCCCGAATTCCCCATCGTAAGGTCATCTTGCGGTCACGCCCCTCGAAGCTCGGAGCCAAGGTCGAGACTCATCCTCGAGGTTCGCCTAGGAGCTGATCTTATCCCGACTAATGCAGTGCGCCACAAGAAGTAAGGGTGAGGTTCTTAAGATATGCGACTCGACCTGACGAGATCAGCCTATCTGAGGTCCATTTTTGAAGCGCTACATCTAGCCATCGTATCTCTATACTTTCACTGTTAACACATTTTGTATTACAAGAAATTCCCTTCCTATATAAAGGGGATCCCCACCTCTTTGTAAAAGGGGATGGATGTTACTCCATTTCTCCACAAGAGCAATAATACCTCTCTCTCCCTCTTTCTTCTAAATTGTTCATTCTTACTGGCCCGAGGAAACCTTATCATTTTTATCGTTTTCTTATTTGTTCTCCACTACTTTGCTCAATATTGGTAACATAGAGATTCGTTTAGCCATACTTCCGCCTGTTATCCCATTCCCGATATCCCTCGATAGCTCGAGCCCGGCTCAAACCTCGTCCCCGAGGTCCCCGTAGGCCGACTTTGCGTCTGGGAAACACCCCCTTTGGTTGAGTCACTGCCTCATTTTAACTTTCTTTTTCGTCATTATACTTCACGTTCTTAGCACTAACTTCCTTAATAACTAGCTCGAGAATAGATCACGTATTTTTAGAATTCCATTTACAAATTTACTTATTGTTACCATTTTCATGGTAAACAGTTTGGCGCCCACCGTGGGGCTAAAAATAATAGTGATTATTTTCTTGCTGGTTTCTTTGCAAAAATGCAAGTTATCTTTCACACTTCTTCTTGCCCAAGATCTTCACTTTCAGGGCAGGATGTCTGGCTCGACTGGTGAAATGGGAAACCGAGATCTCAAAAGCGACAGGGAAATGGACCCGACCAACCCAGAGTCCGGTGCGACCCCAGGTTCAATCCGAGCCAAAGGAAGGGGTCCCCAACATAGTATCCACATAATTATCGGAGGGGCTAACGATCTCCAAGGACCCATGTCCAAATGAACAAAAACATCCGCTACAGAAGAAGGACCGGCCCGAAAACACTTATCCAAAGAAATCCTCATATTCGCCGAGGAGGACCTTGAGGCCATGGGGGAACCACATAACAATGCGCTGGTGATCTCTTTTCTCTTAAACAACACAAGGATAAAGCGCGTGCTTGTGGACCTGGGCAGTTCGGACAACATAATTAGGTCAGAAGTAATAGAACAGTTGGGGTTGCTCAATCAAATTGTCTCCATCCCTCGAATCCTCCACGGCTTCAACATGATCGGAGAAGAGATGAAAGGAGAAATCACCCTCCCGATCAACACATCTGTCACAACCCAGAGCACCGAATTTCAGGTCATCGACGACAATATGAGGTACAACGCTTTACTTGGTAGGCCTTGGATACACAATATAAGGGCAGTGCCCACAACCTTGCACCAGGTGATAAGGTTCCTTACAAGAGACGGCATTACGACAATACATGGAGAACAGCGGGCAGCAAGGGAAATGTTCGCAGTCCACCACGAGACGCCAACCCCCATACACTCGGCCTCAAATGATGAGAAAAGCATGCAGACTCTTGGGGACGACCAGGAAGACTTCTTCGCCCCCGAACTTTCATCGCCCCTGAAGAATCAGATGCAACCAAGTCGACAGTCGAAGAACTGGAGCAAACCATTCTGATCGATAACCTCTCGGATCGTAACGTATACCTGGGAATGGGGCTGACCCCCGAACTCAGGACAAGGTTTATTCAATTCCTTAGTAACAATATCGACTAATTTGCCTGGTCCCACCTAGACATAACCGATATCCCATCGAAAATAACCTCCCACCGGCTGAGCGTCGACCCCAAATTCAAACCTGTGAAGCAGAAGAGGAGACCACAGTCCGAGGTAAAACACACCTTCCTAAAAGAGGAGGTAGCAAAACTTCTTAAAATCGGATCTATCAGGGAGGTAAAGTACCCCAAATGGCTAGCTAACATAGTGATAGTACAAAAAAAGGGGAATAAGCTAAGAATGTGCATAGATTATAAAGATTTAAACAAAGCATGCTCCAAAGATTCATTCCCACTGCCTAACATCAATCGTCTAATCGATGCCACGGCCGGCCATGAGACCCTCACCTTCCTTGATGCTTACTCGGGGTATAATCAGATTTAGATGAACCCCGAGGATAGGGAAAAGACCTCATTCATCACAAAATACGGTACATATTGCTATAACGTGATGCCTTTCGGACTAAAAACTGTAGGAGCGACATACCAACGACTAGTTAATAAGATGTTCGAGCATCAAATAGGTAAATCGATGGAAGTATATATTGACTATATGCTAGTTAAATCCCTGCGTGCAGAAGACCATCTGACCCATTTGCAGGAAACTTTCAACATCCTCAGAAGCTACAACATGAAGCTCAATCCCGAGAAGTGTGCCTTCGGAGTAGGCTCGGGCAAATTTCTGGGCTTCATGGTCTCAAACAGGGGGATCGAGATCAACCCCAACAAAATAAGGGCCATCGAAGAAATCACAGTGGTGAAAAACGTAAAAGCCATCCAACGGCTGACTGGACGGATCGCGGCACTGGGCAGGTTCATATCAAGGTCGTCAGACAAAAGCCATCACTTCTTCGCCCTACTCAAAAGAAGGAGAAACTTTGAATGGACTCCGGAATGCCAACACACCCTGGAAGAACTGAAACGGTACCTATCTAGCTCGCCCTTGCTGTACACGCCCAAGGAAGATAAAATATTGTACCTGTACCTGGCCGTGTCCGAAATAGCGGTGAGCGGTGTGTTAGTCCGAGAAGAGCAAGGTACACAATTTCCTATGTATTAAGTAAGTCGAACCTTAGGGGATGCCGAAACCCGGTACCCCCATCTAGAAAAATTGGCATTCGCACTAATAAGCGCCTCGCGCAAGCTAAAGCCTTACTTTCAGTGCCACCGCATTTGCATCCTATCGACTTACCCTCTCCGAAGCATACTTCACAAACCTGAGTTGTCGGGTCGATTGGACAAATGGGCCATTGAACTCGGGGGGTACGATATCGAGCATCAACCTCAGACGGCAATTAAATCCCAAATCCTGGCGAATTTCATGGCCGAGTTTTTGCCATCCCTCGTTCCCGAGGTAGAGAAGAAACTTTTACTAAAATTAGGCACGCCCTCCAGGATATGGACCCTATTCATGGATGGTGCTACAAACGTTAGAGGATCCGGACTCGGTGTAGTCCTAAAGCCGCCCATTGGCAGCATAATCCGACAGTCCATAAAAACCACAAAGCTAACTAACAACGAAGCTGAGTATGAGGCTATGATTGCAAGTTTGGAATTGGCCAAGGGCTTGGAGGCCGAGCTCATCGAGGCAAAATGCGATTTGCTCCTCGTGGTAAGTCAAGTAAACGGGAGCTACGAGGCCCAGGAAGACAGGATGCAGAGGTATCTGGATAAGATCTAAATCACGTTGTGCCGCTTCAAAGAATAAACCTTAGTCAATGTACCACGAGAGCAGAACAACGAGGTTGATTCCCTGGCGAACCTAGGGTCGTCTGCTGAGGAGGAAGTCCTGCTCCCTGGAGCTATTGTCCAATTAATAAAATCTATGGTCGAGAAAGGTCACGCAAAATCAACTCTACCAGCCTGACATGGGAATAGAGAAACAAATACATCGTTTATCTGAAGGATGGGAAACTACCCGTTGATCCGAAAGAATCAAGGGCCCAGCGAATCAAAGCGGTCCAGTTCTTGCTCGACGAAAATGGGGCCCTGTACAGGAGAACGTTCACTAGCCCCCTAGCAATATGCCTAGGACCGGGCGACACGGACTATGTGCTCCGAGAGATCCCCGAGGGCACCTGCGGAAACCATTCCGGGGTAGACTCCATAGTCTGAAAGGTAATCAGAGCAGGTTACTACTAGGATAGCATGGAAATGGATGCCAAGGAGTTCGTCCGAAGATGCGACAAATGTCAGAGATTTTCCCCCATGATTCACCAACCCGGAGAACAGCTACATTCCATTTTATCGTCGTGGCCATTTATAAAATGGGTAATGGACATCGTCGGCCCTTTGCCAACGGCACCAGGTAAAGCTAGATTCATTATGTTTATGACTTATTACTTTTCGAAATGGGTGGAAGCGCAGGCTTTCGAAAAAATAAGAGAGAAGGAAGTCATCAACTTTATATGGGAGCACGTCATATGCCGATTCGGGATCCCGTCCGAAATAACGTGCGACAATGGGAGGCAATTCATCAGGAGCAAGGTAACACAGTTCTTTGAGGACAACAAAATCAAAAGAATCCTTTCAACGCCATACCATCCGTGTGCGAACGGCCAGGCTGAATCCATGAATAAAACCATCATTCAAAACCTGAAGAAAAAATTGGAAAGCACTAAAGGGAAATGGCAAGAAACGCTGCCCGAAGTACTGTGGGCATACCAGACGACTCCAAAATGAAGCACGGGGGAGACACCTTTCTCTCTGGTGTATGGTGCTGAAGCACTAATACCAGTAGAGGTTGTGGAACCAAGCTCCAGATTCCGGCACGCCAGCAGAGAGTCTAATCACTAGGCCATGGCAATGACCCTCGAGCTGCTCGATGAAAGACGGGAGGCCTCGTTAGTTCGGATGACCGCCCAGAAGTAGCAAATCGAAAGGTACTACAGCAGGAGAACGAACCTCCGATATTTCGGAATCGGAGACTTGGTCCTAAGGAAGGTTACTCTCAACACCTGAAACCCAAATGAAGGAAAGCTAGGCCAGAATTGGGAAGGGTCACCGTGTCCTCAGGATAGTTGGCAAAGGCTCCTATAAGCTTGGCACCATGGAAGGCGAGCAACTCCTGAGCAACTGGATTGTGTCAATGCTCAAGTGGTATTACGATTAGGGCATCTGACCATGGAACCCCACAGGAGCCCTCAAGGAAAGCGTAGCACTCTTTTTCCCTCAGTCAAGCTTTTTGTCCTGAAACAGTTTTTTTGCCGATAGGATTTTCTAACAAGGCGACGTCCGCACAATCCAAACCTACGAGATTTTCTTTACAACCAGCCCAACTTCAGAAAAAATGACGAACGAGACTCCGACAGGGGGCAATGCACCGAGCCAAGCAACCCGAGGAGCCGTACCCACGTGGGCTGAGCTCGCAGCAATGAGACAATATGTATTCATGGCCTATATTTATGCCAAGCAATAAAGAATATCTTTTTGGCATTTCTTACTTCGAAAAAGGCAATTTTGGCATATTCACGGCAAAGGCCTCTCCACCAAATACGTCCCGAGATATTCGGAGACTTAAATGATTCAGTGCCCACACGACCCCAGGGTCGGAACTCCGGGCTCACAAAACCCTCACAATACAACTCCAAGTTTACGAGAAGCGATATTCAAGCTTATACAAACTCGATGACTTGGAAATTGTCGCCAATCGCCGTGTGCTGGAAAATCTGAAATTGTAAGACCTTAGCGGGCAGCCTCGGCATAACAAGATCAATTCTATAAACTATAAGACCTCAAAAGGCATGAAAAACTATAAGACCTCAATCGGCATGACAAACTGTAAGACCTCAATAGGCATGACAAACTATAAGACCTCAACAGGCATGAAAATCCCGCAGTTTGTGCTATACATCGCATTTGTAGATTCCCTAAAGGGCATACCCTCGGTGTATATGCCTAAATTGCCACTTGGGATAAAAAATGGCCACGACCAAACGCATATGAGTACGGTCAAAACGGCTGATACAGCCATTAATGAGACTCGAGGACGCCCGACTATCGCTAAAATCCTCCGAATATAATTCGGAAAGAACCGGTTAAAACAGGCTTCCATCAATAGGCAAAAACGAGCTCCGACCATGTCGGCTCCAAATCGCAATAGCATCGATCTACTTGACTAATGAGCTATGAACCTTACAAGGTGCTCAAAACATCGCTGACAACGACTTGAAATCGAGGTTCTTCTAGAACCGGCGATGGGTCAGGCAAAAATATTTTAAAAGACCTTAACGAGCGGAAACAAAGCCTAACAAAAAGCCCACGGGTAAAAACAGCATAAGAGCCATTGTCGCCAGCTAAGCAAGCCTATGGGCCTCATATTGAAAGGTCTCTACGACCATACAACATTAGAGCCATTGTCGCCAGCTAAGCAAGCCTATGGGCCTCATATTGAAAGGTCTCTACGACCATACAACATTAGAGCCATTGTCGCCAACTTGAAAATTGACAACTTGAGGATTAAAGTGAGCTCGAATCATAAACCAATAAGAAGACTGGATCCAAAATAGTTAACTAAGCAAGCCTACGGGCCACATACTAAAAGGTCTCAAAGACCAAATGGCATAAATGCCACTATCACCGGCCGAAAACTCAATGAGATTTGAGGGTCGATTACAGCTCGAGTCGCAATGCGACTCGGAGACTGGACCCAGAAAATCATAATACATCTAAGGGCACGGCATAAATGCCACTACCACCGGCCGGAATCTCAAGGAAACCTAAGGGTCAATTACAGCTCGAATCGCAACGCGACTCGGAGACTCGATCCAGAAAATTGCAATATGCCTAAGGGCACGGCATAAATGCCACTATTGTCGGCCGGGATTTCAAGGAAATGTAAGGGTCAATAATAGCTCGAATCACGACGCGACTCAAAGAGTAGACCCGAGGACAATTAACCCCC